TTATTTATTTGAGATGATTCTTGTTTCTTGAGGTAGGATTTTATTGCTATAAACTTTCCTCTTAGAACTGCTTTTGCTCCATCCCATAGATTTTGGGTCATTGTATTTTCATTGTCATTTGTTTCTAGGTATTTTTTGATTTCCTCTTTGATCTCTTCAGTGATCTCTTGGTTAATAGGTTGTGTAGTGTTTAACTTCCATGTGTTGTATTTTTTACAGATTTTTCCCTGTAATTGATATCTAGTCTCATAGTATTATGGTAAGAAAAGATACTTGATATGATTTCAATTTTCTTAACTTTACCAAGGCTTGATTTGTGACCCAAGATATGATCTGTCCTGGAGAATGTTCCATGAGCACTTGAGAAGAAAGTGAATTTTGTTGTTTTTGGATGGAATGTCTTATAAATATCAATTTAGTCCATCTTGTTTAATGTATCGCTTAAAGCTAGTGTTTCCTTATTTATTTTCATTTTGGGTGATCTGTCCATTGGTGAAAGTGGGGTGTTAAAGTCCCCTACTATGATTGTGTTACTGTCGATTTCCCCTTTTATGGCTGTTAGCATTTGCCTTATATATTGAGGTGCTCCTATGTTGGGTGCATAAATATTTACAATCGTTATATCTTCTTCTTGGATTGATCCTTGATCATTATGTAGTGTCCTTCTTTGTCTCTTGTAATAGTCTTTATTTTAAAGTCTATTTTGTCTGATATGAGAATTGATACTACGGCTTTCTTTTGATTTCCATTTGCATGGAATATCTTTTCCATCCCCTCACTTTCAGTCTATATGTGTCCCTAGGTCTGAAGTGGGTCTCTTGTAGACAGCATATATAAGGGTCTTGTTTTTGTATCTATATGGGCCTTGTTTTTGTATCTATTCAGCCAGTCTGTGTCTTCTGCTTGGAGCATTTAATCCATTTACATTTAAGGTAGTTATTGATGTGTATGTTCCTATTACCATTTTCTTAATTGTTTTGGGTTTGTTATTGTATGTCTTTTCCTTCTCTTGTGTTTTCTGCCTAGGGGCGTTCCTTTAGCATTTGTTGTAAAGCTGGTTTGGTGGTGCTGAATTCTCTTAGCTTTTGCTTGCCTATAGAGGTTTTAATTTCTCCATCAAATCTGAATGAGATCCTTGCTGGATAGAGAATCTTGGCTGTAGGTTTTTCCCTTTCATCACTTTAAATATGTCCTGCCACCCCCTTGTAGCTTGCAGAGTTTCTGCTGAAAGATCAGCTGTTAACCTTATGGGGATTCCCTTTTATGTTATTTGTTGTCTTTCCCTTGCTGCTTTTAATATTTTTTCTTTGTATTTAATTTTTGATAGTTTGATTAATATGTGTCTTGGTGTGTTTCTCTTTGGATTTATCCTGTATGGAAATCTCTGCGCTTCCTGGACTTGACTAACTATTTCGTTTCCCATATTAGGGGAATTTTCAACTATAATCTCTTCAAAAATTTTCTCAGTCCCTTTCTTTTTCTCTTCTTCTTCTGGGACCCCTATAATTCGAATGTTGGTGTATTTAGTGTTGTCCCAGAGGTCTCTGAGACTGTCCTCAATTCTTTTTGTTCTTTTTTCTTTATTCTGTTCTGCAGTAGTTATTTCCACTATTTTATATTCCAGGTCACTTATCCATTCTTCTGCCTCAGTTATTCTGCTATTGATTCCTTCTAGAGATTTTTAAATTTCATTTATTGTGTTGTTCATCATTGTTTGTTTGCTCGTTAGTTCTTCTAGGTCATTGTTAAAGATTTCTTGTATTTTCTCCATTCTATTTCCAAGATTTTGGATCATCTTTGCTATCATTTTTCTGAATTCTTTTTCAGGTAGACTGCCTATTTCCTCTTCATTTGTTTGGTCTAGTGGGTTTGTACCTTGCTCCTTCATCTGCTGTGTGTTTTTCTGTCTTCTCATTTTGCTTAACTTCCTGTGTTTGGGGTCTCCTTTTTGCAGGCTGCAGGTTCGTAGTTCCCGTTGTCTTGGTGTCTGCCCCCAGTGGCTAAGGTTGGTTCAGTGGGTTGTGTAGGCTTCCTGGTGGAGTGGAGTAGTGCCTGTTTTCTGGTGGTTGAGGCTGGATCTTCTCTCTCTGGTGGGCAGGTCCACATCCAATGGTGTTTTTTGGGGTGTCTGTGACCTTATTATGATTTTAGGTGGCCTCTCTGCTAATGGGTGGGGTTATGTTCCTGTCTTGCCAGTTGTTTGGCATAGGGTTTCCAGCCCTGTAGCTTGCTGGTCATTGGGTGGAGCTGGGTCTTGGCATTGAGATGGAGATCTCTGGGAGATTTTTGCCATTTGATATTACGTGGATCTGGGAGGTCTCTGGTGGACCAATATCCTGAACTCGGTTCTCCCACCTCAGAGGCACAGGCCTGACACGCGGCCGGAGGACCAAGACCCTGTCATCCACATGGCTCAGAATAAAAGGGAGAAAAAAGGAAAGAACGAAAGAAAAAATAAAATAAAATAAAGTTAATAAAAGAAAAAATAATTATTAAAAAAATTTAAGTTAATAAAAAAAAAAGAAAGAAGAAAGCAACCAAATCAAAAAAGAAATCCACCAATGATAACAAGCACTAAAAACTATACTAAAAACAAAAAACCAAAAAATGGACAGACTGAAGCCTAGGACAAATGGTGAAAGCAAAGCTATACAGACAAAATCATGCACAGAAGCATACACATACACACTCACAAAAAGAGAAAAAGGAAAAAAATATATATCGTTGCTCCCAAAGTCCACTGCCTCAATTTGGGATGAATTAGTTGTATATTCAGGTGTTCCACAGATGCAGGGTACATCAAGTTGATTGTGGAGATTAATTTACATTATCAAATTTGCTTTAATAGAAATGAGAAAATATAGGTCTTTGGATGCTCTCAGTTATTTGGATTATGCCTTCATTTTGTGAAAGTTTCATAGTCTACCAGGATCTGTGCAAAGGATACCTGAGCGAGGTACGGGCAGGCACGGAGGGAGAGAGCATCCTTGTGATAAGCGGCCTGGTTAGGGAGAGAGGGTATATTTCTAAGTAATTGACACAAAGGAAATTTTAATTAAAATAAATGTGACCGAATGGTAGTGATGCGTATTGCCTAGAGGATGGCAGACGCCAGCTTGCGCCGCATGGTTCCCAGCGACCTGTATCCCCTCGTGCTCGGCTTTCTGCACGATAACCAGCTCTCGGACGTGGCCAACAAGTTCGCCAAGGCAACAGGCACTGATGGTTTCCAGTGATTTGGAATTATAAACCACGTTGCTGCAAACATCCTCCTGTGTAGATGTGTGTTTCATGGACCCAGCAGGATGCCAACGCCTCTTCCCTCTTGGACATCTATAGTTTCTAGCTCAAGTCCACCAAGGCCCCAAAGCGGAAGTTACAGGCAAATGGACCAGTGACTAAGAAGGCTAAGAAGAAGACTTCATCCAGTGACAGCAGTGAGGACAGCAGTGAGGAGGAAAAAGCCCAAGGGCCTCCCACTAAGAAAGCTGCTGTACCTGCCAAGCAGGCCAGTCTGCTTCAGCATCCTGGAAAGGCTGCAGTCAAGGCATCAGAGAGCAGCAGCAGCAGTGAAGAATCCAGTGATGAGGAGGAGGAGGACAAAAAGAAAAAGCCTGTCCGGAAGGGAGTTAAGCCCCAAGCCAAGACAGTCAAAGCTCCTTCTAAGAAGGCCAAGAGCTCTGATTCTGATTCTGACTCAAGCTCAGAGGATGAGGTGCCAAAGAACCAGAAGCCAAAGACAACACCCGTGGCAGCTAAAGCTCAGGCTAAAGCCCTAGCCAAACCAGATACACCAGCTCGTCCCACACCTAAAGTAGTCAATGGCAAAGCATCTGGTAGTAACAGCAGCAGCAGCAGTGATGATGACTCAGGAGGGGAAGGCAGCAGCCGTATCTGAGAAGACCGTACCTAAAACGCAAGCTGTGGCCAAGGCCCCAGTGAGAGCAGCTGCCGCTCCTGCCCAAAAGAGTTCCAGCAGTGAGGACTCCTCCAGTGAGGAGGAGGAGGAGGAGGAGCAGAAGAAGAAACTAGGTCCCTTTAGTTCAGTTCCCCCACCCTCTGTTCCCCCACCCAAGAAGTCCCTGGAAATTCAGGCTCCCAAGAAAGCTGCAGAGAAGCAGCAGCCTGTGGAGAGCAGTGAGGACAGCAGCGACGAGCCTGATTCAAGTTCTGAGGAAGAAAAGAGACCCCCAGCTAAGGCAGTCATCTCCAAAGCAACTACTAAACCAGCTCCAGCAGAGAAGGCAGCAGAGAGCTCTTCAGACAGCTCAGACTCCGACAGTTCTGAGGATGAAGCTCCTGCTAAGCCAGCCAGTACCACCAAGAATTCCTCAGGTAAGCCAGCTGCCGCTCCCAAGCAGTCTGCGGTTAAGCCAGCTACAACTCCCAAGCAGCCTGCAGCCACTGGCCAGAAAGGCTGATAGCACCTCCAGCGAGGAGGAGAGCAGTTCTAGTGAGGAGGAGAAGACGAAGAAGACTGTAGCCACCCCTAAGTCCAAGGAGATGGCCAAAGCAGCTCCGTCTTTGCCTGCCAAGCAGGCCTCTCAGGGTGGTGGGGACAGCAGCTCTGATTCAGACAGCTCCAGCAGCGAGGAAGACAAGGAAGAGAAGACGCCTAAACCCCCAGCCAAAAAGAAGCCACAGAAGGCAGGGGGAACTGTAGCCCCTTCCAAACCAGCCTCTGTGAAGAAAGCAAAGGCCGAGAGCAGCAGCACTTCTTCCTCTGAGGACTCCAGTGAGCAGGAGGAAGAGGAGAAGCCCAAGGCCAAGGGCACTCCAAGACCACAAACCGCCAAGGCCAATGGCACCTCTGCACTGACTGCCCAGAATGGAAAAGCAGACAAGGACAGCAACGAGGAGGAGGGGGGCAAGAAAAAGGCAGCAGTGGCAGTTGCTAAGCCAGGTTCAGGAAAGAAGTGGAAGCAGAATGAGGCTGCGAAGGAGGCAGAGACTCCTCCAGCCAAGAAGATGAAGCCCCAGACCCCCAACACGTTTCCTAAAAGGAAGAAAGGAGAATGAAGGGGATCCTCCCCATTCCGAAGGATCAGGGAGGAGATTGAGGTGGATGCTCGAGTGGCAGACAATTCCTTTGACGCCAGGCGGGGTGCAACCAGAGACTGGGGGGAGCGAGCCAATCAAGTTCTGAAGTTCACCAAAGGCAAATCCTTCCGGCATGAGAAAACCAAGAAGAAGCGGGGCAGTTACCGGGGAGGCTCCATCTCTGTCCAAGTCAATTCCGTTAAGTTTGACAGTGAGTGACCGTGGACCATCTGTAGCACAGCAGGGGTGATGGTCTGAGACCACTCACTTTCCCCAGTCGACCTGGGAACCCTCAGCTCTATCGGGGGAGGGTGTCGGTGAGGAGAGCAGTTTAGATTAGGTCTGAAGGCTTTGCGTCGTAACATCCTCTAAGGTCCTTTTCTGTTTTTGTGGTTTTGTACAGATTTGTTTTTGAGTGTTGGGTAGCAAGGACAAGGTAAGGGGAGTGTTCTTTTTTAAGAAAAATTGTTTTAGTTGTCATTCTCCCTGTTTTGTGGAAGTTCTCATACTGAGAAATTTGTATATTTTACATTAGATCATTTCTTATTGATTTTTGTTGTGGTTTTCAGAGGTGGGTTCACAGATTAAAATCTCAGCTATCTTCCAAGATGTGGTAAAGGTCACATGTATGAATTTTTATAATTGGAGAATTCTGTCTATGGGAGTGCTTGTGTCCACATTTCATCCTTCCTACCCCTCAGGGCCCTGGTGAGGGGCGGCTAAGAATGGTTAATGTATGTATCTGTTAAGCATGAACTACCTACCTCATTCGTGGGGTCTAGGACTGAAGTTTTCAGCCAGCATGGACTTACCTACTTTGGGGGATAAAATTTACTGTTTTGTTTCAGGCAAAATTCTGGTGGGGTGTGAATGCCGTGGGGTCAGTCTGAATATTTCGTTTGCTATAATTTTATTATTACATAATGTTTGCAATATGTGTTTTTTAATTTGAAAGCATAAACTTTTTTATTGTTCAAAGACAAAAAATAAATAAATAAATAAATGTGACCAACTATATCCCGCCAGGTAGTAGACAGCTGAGTTGGAAAATGACAGAGAAGCTTTTTCAGTCCTGACAGAAATATTTAAAAGTCATCAGGTAAATATACAAATTAATAATGTTAGTATTACATTTGATCCAAAAGGTAGTTCTAGCCAGTCCAATAAATATCTCATTTCATTCTTCTTTTGCTCGCATAGTAAAGGTCAACAATATCCTGTTTTGTGAGAGTTCAGCTTCTGATTTATAACTAAGATTATAAGGCTTCTGTAAGCAGGGGTGAAGTAACATTTCTGCCCTGAGGGTCATAAAACCTAAGTAGGAATTCCTTGAGGCCACTGTAGAGTGCAAACAAAACTAAGGTCCAAGGGGGATGAGGCTGCAGTGACAGGACCCGTCACAGTACTCTTTCTATGATGCCAATTAAACAAAAGGGCCCTGGGTCGCAGGAAGGACAGCTAATAAGTGCCCTGGCCAGGGCTGGTTTCATACCTAGCCTATTGAGGACAGTCATCTGCTCGTTCAAGTAAGGCCCTGCTTTCAGTCAGAGCTGTTGGCTCTTAAAGTCTGACCCAGGCCTGGGTCTCTGCTATGAAATGAGAGATCTGAAATTCAAAGAAAGAGAACTTGGGCAGTGATATTTATTTTTGTAAAATGAGGAGATTGGGACTTCCCTGGTGACGCAGTTGTTGAGAGTCCACCTGCCGATGCAGGGGACACGGGTTCGTGCCCCGGTCCAGGAAGATCCCACATGCCATGGAGCAGCTGCGCCCGTGAGCCATGGCCGCTGAGCCTGCGCGTCCGGAGCCTGTGCTCCGCAACGGGAGAGGCCACAGCATGCAGAGGCCCCCGCACCACAAAAAAAAAAAAAAAAAAAAAAAAAATGAGATTGTACAAAAAGACCCCTGAGGGCCTATCCAGCTCAGCACCTTTCCCATGCCCTGAATTGCCTCCCTCAGGGACTCTCCTCCCCGAGAAGCGAGAAGGATGAAGAATGTAGGTACCAAGTGCGGGTAGAGGATTGGAAGGAAGAGGACAGCGACGCGTTGTCATTTCCCCAGTCACATCCAGTGGTCCTGTCTTGACTCCTATTTCTGTCTGTGTTGCTCTTTTCCTGCCAGTACTTCAGGCTTTCCTAGTTTTACAGGTGATGGAAGAAGGATTGGGAATCCCTTAGAATGGACTCCAGGTGCTGTACTAGACTGTGAAAATACTGGTGATTAAGCCAGAAGGCGTTATTTCTTTAGCCCTTACAGCCAGAAGTGGAGGGTGATGACTAAAAAGTCCAGTGACAGAGTTCTGCAGGCCTGAATCACTGTGTGTGGGCTCAGGAATGGGGTCCTTAAAGGAGTCCCATGGACTGCCATTGGCAGGCAGTGGTCCCCCACTCATGATGGACCCCTAATGTGCAGCTGTGCTGGTGGATCCGGAATGCCCACATGGCCAACCAGGTCTCACATTTTGCAAAACACAACCCCCTAGCCAAGTGGGTCAGGCATGAGGAGAGACTACGGGTGGACTTGCCGGCCCCTTGACAGATTCCTCTTGCCCAGTCTGTGACGTGAGCTTCAAGACAGCCTGGTCTCTGGATCTGGAAAATCAGCCATAGTTTAATACCACCTGGAAGAGTCTTCATCTAACTTTTCCCCCCTTTGGCATTCTTTTCTCTGCCCCGTCTTTTTATTTTTTTATTTTGGTCATGAGGCACGTGGGATCTTAGTTTCCCGACCAGGGATCCAACCCGTGCCCCCTGCAGTGGAAATGGAGTCTTAATCACTGGACCTCCAGGGAAGTCCCTGTCTTTTTATTAAGACAGTTTCTCAAAGTGTATTTTGCAGAATGTGCATGAGAATCACCTCTAAAGTACTTGTTCAAGATTTCATTTGAGAACTATTGCTCAAAAACATGACATCAACTCTGGCTGCACAAGAGAATCACCTGGCAAAAAACCTTTTTAAAATACCAGTTCTCTGGGCCCCATACCCAGAGCATCTCATTTGATTGGTCTGGGTTAGTTCTGATTCAGTAGTCAGGGATGCAACTGGAATACATATGTTAACAATTATTATACTTACCAATGATTTTTTTTAAACTTATTTTTATTTTTGGCTGTGTTGGGTCTTTGTTGCTGCACATGGGCTTTCTCTAGGTGCAGCTAGTGGGGGCTACTCTTTGTTGCGGTGCGATTCTCATTGCAGTGGATTCTCTTTGTTGTGGAGCATGGGCTCTACGTGCGTAGGCTTCAGTAGTTGTTGTGCGTGGGCTCAGTAGTTGTGGCTCACAAGCTCTAGAGCGCAGGCTCAGTAGTTGTGGTGCATGGGCTTAGTTGCTCCACAGCATGTGGGATCTTCCCAGACCAGAGCTCGAACCCGTGTCCCCTGTGTTGGCAGGTAGATTCTTACCCACTGCGCCACCAGGGAAGCCCTTTACCAATGATTATATTCAACTTTGATGAGGGTGGTTGAGGTACCATGACATTTTGAAAACACTGTCTAGGCCTTCACCAAGGGTATAATCTGCTACCCTTGGGAATGTTCTCTGTCTTGAATTCTGGTTCCACCAACTTGTGTCTGATCTTGGGTAGTTATTAACCTCTCTGTGCCTCAGTTTCTCCATCTGTAAAATGGAGGAAATAAAAGTACTTACTTTATAGAGGTTGTAAGGATTAAAAGAAGTTAAGACAGAAAGAGGTCATTTTTATTTTGGGAATCTCTCTCTCTTTCTCTATTTAGTTGGCTCTGGTTCTCTGATAAGGCAGTAATTCAACTGTTTCCATGTCCTCCTTCAGCCTTAGCCTTCCCATTCCACTTGCCCACTCACACGAGATACTCCAATCATGGTTAGAAGAAATTTTCTCTATATATGATTTGTTGTGAAGAAAAACAAGACATGCTAAAATTGTATTTTACAAAGAATTTCCTCTAGTGGATATTAATGTTCAATGTATGATGGTTGAACAATGAAAATATGTTATTAAATCTCTAATGAGATTAATAATCATGAGATTTAATAACAATTAATTTCTTATTAATTAATAAATTATTAGTTACTTCCAATCAATTGATTAAAACTTTATTTTTTTTAAAAGCTAGAACTGTGATGATACCTAGTATATCTTTGAAAAGATAAAGAAAATTGATAAACCTTTAGCCAGACTCATCAAGAAAAAAAGGGAGAGGGCTCAAATCAGTAAAATTAGAAATGAAAAAGAAGAAGGTACAATGGACACCACAGAAATACAAAGGATCATAAGAGACTACTACAAGCAACTATATGCCAATAAAATGGACAACCTAGAAAATATGGACAAATTCTTAGAAAGGTACAATCTCCTAAGACTAAACCAGGAAGAAATAGAAAATATGAACAGACCAATCCCGAGTACTGAACTTGAAACTGTGATTAAAAAACTTCCAACGAAAAGAAGTCCAGGACCAGATCACTTCAAAGGCAAATTATATCAAACATTTAGAGAAGAGTTAGCACCCATCCTTCTGAAACTATTCCAAAGAATTTCATATAAAGGAATACTCCCAAACTCATTCTGAGACCACCATCATCCTGATACCGAAACTCGACAAAGATATCACAAAAATTACAGGCCAATATCACTGATGAACATAGACACAAAAATCCTCAACAAAATACTAACACTCTGAATCCAACAATACATGAAAAGGGGGGCTTCCCTGGTGGCACAGTGGTTAAGAATCCACCTGCCAATGCAGGGGACACAGGTTCAATCCCTGGTCTGGAAAGATTCCACATGCTACGGAGCAACTAAGCCCATTTGCCTCAGCTACTGATCCTGTGTGCCACAACTACTGAAACCCGTGCACTCTAGGGCCCATGTGGCACAACTACTGAGCCTATGTGCTGCAACAGCTACTGAAGCCTGCATGCCTAGAGCCCGTGCTCCACAACAAGAGAAGCCACCGCAGTGAGAAGCCCGTGCACTGCAACGAAGAGTAGACCCCACTTGCCACAACTAGAGAAAGCCCACGCACAGCAACAAAGATCCAACACAGCCAAAAATAAAAAAAAAAACATGAAAACATACACCATGATCAAGTGAGATTTATCACAGGGATGCAAGGATTTATCAATATCCACAAATCAATCAGTGTGATACACCACATTAACAACTTGAAGAATAAAAACCATACGATCATCCCAATAGATGCAGAAAAAGCTTTTGACAAAATTCAACATTCATTTGAAAAAATGAAAAACTC